GCGCACACACACGCACGCACACACACACACACACACACACACACACACACACACACACGCGCGCGCACGCACGCACGCACACATACCCTACTCACTACCAATACCAACATTTATAACCACTATAAACCAGACCAGGCTAAACTGAACCCTCCACAGTGCATGATCCCAAATCCCCCCCCCCTTTCCCCTGCATCACAACACCACTACTACCTTCTCAGCCTCGGGTAAGTACAAACTACGATAAATATTTCAGCTAATAAGTATAATCTTGCACTGACACAGTGCTGTACGGAGAGGCACTGCAGCCTACGCTACAGCGAACGAGAGTGCCTCTGCTCTCTGCTGCCTACAACTACAGATCAATACATGGCATACTCTGCACATGCTACTGCTAGTAGTAGTAGGAGCAACAATGGGCTTGATGCTCCTGATGCTGAAACTGCTGTCTAGAAAACCTGCCCTGATAGCATCACAGAGAGTGGGTGAGCGGGTGGATTATTTAGGAAACGACTAACGGACACTTTGCAACCACGCACGCACGCACGCACGCACGCACGCACGCACGCACGCACGCACGCACGCACGCACGCACATACACCATAAATAGATCTCGTCTCCTCTCTGTCTCTCTCTCTCTTTCCCACACACACGCACGCACGCACGCACGCACGCACGCACGCACGCACGCACACTCTCTCTCTCTGTCTCTGTCTCTTTCTCTCTCACGCTTCCTTCCGCCCTCAATCCCTTTAGCCCTCTCTCCATCTTTCCTTTTCTCTCCTCCCTTTCTCCCTTCCTCTCCCTCTCGCCCAGACACCCTTTCCTTCCCTCTCTCCCTCTCCCAGACACCCTTTCCTCCCCTCTCTCTCCCAGACACCATTCCCTTCCGCCTCCCACTCCTTCACCTATTCACACCGATTACCTGACCTAAATAGAACTTACCTGACACAGCAAGTGTAAGGAAGACCACTGCCCATATCGATTTGGTACAGTCCATGTAGCCAGTGGCAATCAGGAATGCGCTGGATAGAGCCATAGCTGCAAAAGACCATTGGACGTGAGCGAAAAACCAATTTTGCCGATTTCCCGTGCGGTCCCAAATTAGCTTTTATCTGACGCCTCTCAATAGCTTAATCACTCAATCAGACTTTACACCCCCTATAACCTCCCAGTCGACAATGAAGAGTTAATCAAACAAATCGCTCACTGACGACCATTCAAACACGCGTATGAAAGCCGAGAGGCAGCAACGTACTTTCGATCAAATTAATTAAGTTAAATTAAACTGTGCATTGTCAATAAATCTCCAGTTTTAACGTGACTACGTCGGTATTTACGAGACATCCGAGTAATGCCGAACAACACACAATGAAATCGCATCTATAAAGTGCCACAGCCTCTGTGATAACCGCAACTGCAACTGACAAACGAGCTGTCCAATTTCACGAATGCGATCTCTATTTTATCGGATAAGTATCGACACTACAGTGCACAAGTAACAGTTCAACTACTATGTTTACGTGTGCAACCATGTTTACGTGTACGCTTGCGCGTCACACGTAAGTAATGCTCCTCAATAACCCCACAACAAACTCAATCGGATCAGAAAAACCCGATTTCGCTCTCGGCGCAAAACGTCTTACGGGATTAACTCCGCTCCCGCGCGCGCGTGCCGCGGCAGCCATATCGCTCGCCTACAGCCGCTGCGTGGGAGGCTTCCTGCAGCATCAATGGGCAGGCCGCGAAATTAGCACCGGCCCACCGGCATATGTCGGCGAATTTATTTGGAGGGCTGGTAACATTGGCAAAACACCGGCCCTCCGAGCCGGTGGTTTCAGCCGTGTTAGCGAGTACCTACATTTTTATTTATAGCATTAATGAGTAAATAACTTACATTACTGTTTTACCTGAAGGATATCACGCCATAACTTATGAAAATTTTACAAATTTGAAATCGAGAATGCAAGGGTGAAACATGACATTAATAATTTTACAAACAAATTTGTGAGGGTTGGTACATTATGGTGAGGGCTGGTAAAAATTACTGTTACCAGCCCTCTGGGCCGGTGCAAAAAAATCTGAATTTCGTGCCCTGGACTGGTCGCGCAACACCCACCGACCAACTGGTAGGATTTCCTCACAGCGACCGTGCTGAGCCAGTTCTTCTTGCGGATGAAGTCGGCAGAGAATCCGGCGACGTTCGTGAAGAGCCAGTAGCCGACGTAGGGGATCGCCGAGAAGAGACCGTTCTGCAAGCGATTCTCACATTATTACATTATTACATTATTACATTATACATTATTACATTATTACCGCGCCGAAACGCGCGTCGACCAAGCGGCATGCAACGTACGTTACTACCGCGTGCCTTGACGGAGCGGAAAACTTAACAGCGGTCGCAACTTACTACACGCACGTAAAACTAAAAAAAAAAAAACTAAAAAAAATGTAAAATAATAGATAAAAAAAACAGCGGTCGCAACTTAACACGCACGTAAAACTAAAAAAATAACAACTTAGTAACGCATGCTACTGCCGCGTCGCGCCGCGTTGAACAGAGCAGAAACCTTAGCGGCGGTCGGTATTCGACCTACTACGTTACGCACGTCACCGTATATAATAAAAATAAAAAATACATTTCCAATTTTTCACAAAATGCAAGTGATTCTGTTCACTTTTTATGGTTAAATTGCTGCATTATACTTCCTATTTTACTATATTGTTCGATGTAAACATACACTCGTGACTCATACATAGCCCATAGCAAGCAATTAATGTCAGGATCATTATCATAATATCAAATCGTCCAGGTTTTTTGGATTTTTAACTAGTTGAGAAACAATCTTATCAGGTAAGAATTTGACGATACATTTAGTCCCGTTAGTACCTACTTTTAATGTAAAAAAATGGCAACAATTTTTTTTTACAAAATACACCATAGAAAATTCGTGACGTAGTCAGTTTAACAGATGAGATGGGTCCACGATGCGTGAACGCTGAGCGAAATGTCCATCAAACTTTAAACAATGTCGTTCAAACAGGGGTCATTCACAAGCAAATTCAGCACGTTATCGTTGTCTAATGGGAGACGAAGAAGTAAACTAAAAAGGTGGTGGTGGACATTAATGATGGGCATTTTTCTGTAGACTGATAGATTTCACTTTAGTAAAGGATCCCATACCTACCATATTTCCCTTCTCGGTTAAACGAATGTATAATAAATGAAAATCCGCCACACTAGACTTTGTACCTCAAAGCGAACAACACGTACGCAACCAAAGCTAAATCACGGGCGACAAACACAATGTCGACCTCGTCGCGTAATTTCGCTCCCGCTTGCCGACTCCCGTCGAACTCGTCACGCGCGCGCGTCGCCAGCAGGTGGCGCTGTTAGCTACTTACAGCTGCGATGTCGAGTTTGAGGACCTCCTTCATGAAGGTGGGGATTTGGGTGAGTAGGGTGTAGGTGCCCCAGTCAGCGCAGGAGTGAGCGACTATGATCGCCCACACTGGCATCGACGTCAGGAACTTCAGCCACGGAATCTTTTCATGCTGAACGACGCAAACAAAGAGAGACGACTAAGAAAACGGAGGCAGCGAGCAGAGAGCGCAATTCACGCTGCGTGCAATCGCTGCTCGCAACAGGCGCCGACGCGCGACACGAACACTGAATCAGCGTCGCTACAGCACTCAAATCACGCAATTATCCATCAAATTAAGATCGCAAAATCATTTCAAACATTTAGATAGGCGCATCTCATTTCTAGAACGATTCTGTCGTGACCGCGAGATGGCTTAATACAAGTAACGATCAATCCTAGAGTAACGCATCTTCACAAGACGGAAAACGCAGAGGAGATTAAAAATTGAGTTCACGGAATAAGGACAGACAAGCGACGGCGGCAACAAAACCCTCGATGTATAACCGTTGAGCCGAGACGAATCTCATCCAACAGCTCAATCGTTCCTGTCAGTTTTGCTTTCGAATTCTTTTCACAGTATTCTTGTTAGAGGCATTAAAGTCACACATCACCACATTCTGTAAATTCTGCACAAGCTACATTCGCTAACCACGCGTGCGCTAAAACAGGCTTCCATCATTACCTTGTCGATGTCCTTACGTATCTGGCCGGTCAGGCTGCCCTGTATATAGTCAAGCTCTTCCTTTGAGATTCTAGGGTGAACCGACGGGGTATCGTACACCAGGAGCATCCAACCGATGAACCACAGGACTCCGAGAATGCCTGGCGACCGAGAGAAATCGTTACGAGAGAAGATGCTGCCTTTTCGAAAAATTCTCGATTATTTCCGAGTTAATTGAGTGCAAGATCACATCATGTAGATGCATAACGAAAATCACGCACAATTTCACTTTGCATTGTGGCATGCATTACTGTCTCATGACAACCCTAAGTGCTGCACACTATTCAAAGAGTAAGTAATGCTCCTCAACAAGCCCACAACCAACTCAATCGGATCAGAAAAACCCGATTTCGCTCTCGACACAAAACGTCTTACAGGATTATCATTCGATGCAAATGATATACACAATTTTACTAATTACATATACTTTTTTATATTTTATTTTTTAATTTTACTATTTTACATGGCATCATCGCAACAGCAGAAGGAAGACTACCTACCGAAAACATAGAAGATGGAGCCCCAGCCGTTGTCGAAGCCGTACTTGCACAGGAGTCCCGAAATGGGCATAGTGATGACATTGCCGACTTGAGCACCTAAAACGAGCAACAACGAGCCACATTAACACCAGCCTACTATAACACCACCACAGCCTACTATAACACCACCACAGCCTACTATAACACCACCACAGCCTACTATAACACCACCACAGCCTACTATAACACCACCACAGCCTATTATAACACCACCCTAACCTATTATAACACCACCACAGCCTATTATAACACCACCACAGCCTACTATAACACCACCCTAACCTACTATAACACCACCACAGCCTATTATAACACCACCCTAACCTACTATTGTAACGAGGAATGAAGATATAAATCCAAACTTGTTGTAGTAACCGGAATAAACGAATGGCACCGTGGCCTATTGTAATGCTGAGACCCAAATCGACACAAGACATACACAAACAAGTACGCTGCAGAATGAAATTTGCATTACTGTAATGCGTTAGTGTAATTTACACTACTAGCTAGTCCCATTACATCGCCATAAGCTTTACCTGCCACAAACGTGAACACTCCACAGTTCAACACACGATCACTGACATACTCCAGTGTTACGACAAACACAGACATCATATAAGCCTATGAGCAACTGGCACTCGGCATGCGATCGGTACGCAACACGAAATTACTGAATCATATTCATTGCTTCATCTACACCTGTTTCCCCAAAAAATCTCAACTCCCGCTATGCACACATTTTTGTGCCGAGAAATCTTTATCGAAACCATTAAACAAAAACTTTACGTTGCACGAGAATTCAGATGCACATTTTCATTACTGCTCGTAGCTAGCACATTGCCCCTAGCCGCTTTCCCACCCGGATTAGCCCCCCCCCCCCAATTTACATGGCAATGATGATTCATTTGTGTATGCACGCCGAGCCCTCTTGAGCTTCAGATTTCCAAATAAAGGCGCAAGTCAGGCTGGACACGTGCAAGCCGCTATAAGGGGCATCCCTCATCGTAACCAGGGCACTGGTTCATGCTCGCCCTGCCAGACAGGAAGGGGGGTACACGTACAAGCCACGTGTCAGTGACAACATACAGGGTTGCTAACATTGGCAGGGACTGATGCCGAGAAGCGCTGCGGGTTAACGCTCTAGGCTCCATCAAGATCCACTATTAGCATGCAGAACGAAGGCCAGCCGATACGACGTGTTGACACGGACATCGTTTCTCAATGCCGGATGCACTCGCGGCGATCATGTTACAGTCAACAACCACACAGTTACAGTCAAACAGTTCGCACACCACTATTCACGGTCAGATAGCAGTTCAGGAATCATTAATGCACTAGGTACTACTCAGACACCTGTGCTGGTGATGATGACCATTGAACTGCTATCTCATTATTTAATAATGGTGCCTGTCTGCGTTCACTACCGATTACATATTTATATAACAATGATGCAAATTCTTATGATCCCTGCTGCTATGGTTATGGCAGGGTGCGAAATTAACGGGAGTCCGGAGTCGAATACTCCCTGATTTACTGTCGGACTCCCTGATTTGACATATGCAGGAGTCCGTGTGTGACTCCCTGAAAATTCTGCTATACTAATTAGTTCGTTCCAGAGCACAGCCTCGCGGAATTACCGTATTTTTCAGCTCATGTCCAAAGAAAATTTGGCAGACGTGCAACCGCATGAATCATAAAAATAAGCACATGCGTTATTATTAATATCATTAATTCTGAACCTCAGACTGCGGACTCCCTCATTTTGCTGCAGACTCGCTCTTTTTGAGGGTAGGGAGTCCGTTGGACTCCCGTGTTCAAAAGTTAATTTCGACCCCTGTTGTGGCCAGGTCTGTACAAGACATAAAAACACATGTGACCCTGTAATATATCTTATCGATATTTTATGAGCATTTTAAGGTCTCTACAGTATGGTGGCCGAGATGGCTACGGATATTTTTATTATTTATTTGTAATTCATTTTCATTTCAAATTCATTTTCATTCCAAATTCATTTTCATTTCCAATTCATTTTCATATCAAATTCATTTTCATTTCCAATTCATTTTCATATCAAATTCATTTTAATTTCAAATTCATTTTCATTCCAAATTCATTTTCATTTCAGATTTATTTTCATTCTAAATTCATTTTCATTTCAAATTCATTTGCGAGGCCGCAATCGCGGTGGCCGAGATGGCTACGGATATTGGTGGGGGCGGAGTGACATCACTTCCCCTTGGCAATCCCAACAAACATTCAAAACAAGAGAACAAACGCCATTTGTAAATGTTTTGTCTTGGTTTATGATCGGTAGATAAGTAAGTTTTCCGATGTATTTTCCATGAAAAACACACATTTTACTCATTAACATAAAATATAATATCACTATAATTGCAATTCTTTGTGTAAATGTGTTATTTTCATCTTAATCCTAAAGTTATGAGAGGGTCCGGGCTCTCGTAATACTACATACTCAAACCACAACCCATTACAGGGCGCGGCCATTTTGGAGTAACTAAAAATATGGATCGGAAAACCAGTAACCCACACAAAATACACTTAATAAATCAATTAATAAAATCAAAAAGGGAAAAGTCTAGCAGTATTAAAGTACGGATAAAAGGATAAGGCGGAGATAAATAAATGAACAATTAAACTAGAATACGAATGGAAAATAACTCGGCCGGTACCAGCGGATGCAAAAAGGATAAATGTCAACAAACGGCGTTGTCAAGGCGGTGTCCTGGTATATTTCTCAGCCGAGAAATAAGTCGACACTGCGTGTTCTGCGCATGCGTCAAAACCCGGTCAACAAATTTACCGTGTAAGGCCACGGGAAATTTCAGCCGGTAAATAAGTCGACGCTACATTTTCTAGCTAGTTTAGACTGGTAGGAGAAATTTGGGGGGGGGGAAATTCACCCCCTTGCCCCCTCCCCTATATGATAGTAATTGTAATTGTATCATTAATATTATCATTAGTTATATCAGTATTAGTAGTAGCTGTAGTAGTAGTAGTAGTAGTAGTAGTAGTAGTAGTAGTAGTAGTTGTTGTTGTAGTAGTAGTAGTAGTAGTAGTAGTAGTAGTAGTAGTAGTAGTAGTAGTAGTAGTAGTAGCAGTAGTAGTAGTAGTAGTAGTAGTAGTAGTAGTAGTAGTAGTAGTAGTAGTAGTAGTAGTAGTAAGTATAGTAGTTGTAATGTGTCATTAAACTGTGCATACATTATTCTGCTAGTTTCGACTGGTAGGAGAAATTTCCCAGCCAGTGTATACATTATCCAGCTAGTTTAGACCGGTAGGAGAAATTTCCCAGCTAGTGTATACATTTCCCAGCTAGATTAGGATGATAGGAGAAAGTCCACATAGTTTTGTAACCTCAATTGTGTATACTCAGTACAAACTGTGTTTTTTTTACTGTTTATATAATCGATCACAGCGAGCACAAACATATATAACAGATAGTTTAACTGCCCTGGCC